TGGGATTCAAACCCACCTCTTCTTGTAACAAATCAAGGCCCAATGCCCTAGAGCAGTGGTGTCAAAGTCTAGAAATAAGGATCCCTATAGGCCCAGATTGACTTAGTTTTAAGTTGTAATATTATCTATGTTTTGTTGTATTTTTATTTGTTTTGTTAAATATTTCCCAATTCCACTTTAATCTGGTTTGGGCCTCAATGGAGAGCAGTGCAGGCCACATGTTTGAGGTGCTGTGTCCAGACTGGAACCAGCTGTACAGGGACCTGAGTGGTAGGATGAAGAGTTTAAACTTTATTTAATGAGCAGTGAAAGAAGATGGGGTATCACTGAAGGCTTTTGAATATCAATGAGTTATTATTAAAAATCATACTTTTATTCAATTCACTTCAACATTTATTAGGATTTATAAGGTGTTTTTCTCACAACTCTGTGAATAGTGATTAAAGGAGAAGTGAACGTTGAGCAAAGAATTAGCAAGATTTCTCAAGCAAAGATAGTGAGGGTGGACTGGAGGGAGGAGAACCAAGTACCTTTCAACTGGAGGTTACTGCAGTAACCACATAAAGAAAGTACTAACAGGGCACAGTGACTGAATAGACAAAGGGAATAGGAGAGAGGAGAGGAATCACAGCAATTCCGTAATGACATGAGTTATTGTTTAGTCGTTTGTTTTTTTCAGTCTTGTCCGACTCTTTGTGACTCCTTTTGGGGTTTTCTTGAGAAAGATGCTGGAGTGGTTTGCCATTTCCTCCTCCAGCTCATTTTACAGATGAGGAAACTGAGGCAAACAGGGTGAAGTGACCTGCCCAGGGTCACACAGATAGTAAGTGTCTGAGGCCAGGTTTGAAGTCAGGAAGATGGGTCTTCCTGATTCTAAGGCCCGGCACTCTATCCATTGCATCACCTAGCAAGCCTTGGAAGTAAGAATAGCTAATATTTATATAGTGTTTGTTATGTGCCGGGCACTATGCTAAGTGCTTTACGATTATCTTATTTGAGCCTCACAACAGTGCCGGGAAGTAGATGCTATTATTTTTTCCATTTTACAGATGAGGAAACTGAGGTTAAGTGACTTGCCCAGGGTCACACAACTAGTAAGTGTCTGAGGCTAGATTTGAACTCAGGTCTTCCTGACTCCAAGTCCATCAGTCTGTGTGCTGTGTCACCTACTGTCTAATAGAATTTGAACCCCTTGATGTCAGGGACAGGTTGTTGTTTTTTTTTTAAATCTTTGTATCCCTGGTACTTCACTTAGGACAGTATCAGGCACCTTTTTTTTTTTTGCTGTTGCTGATGGGTTTTTGTTGTTGTTTTTATTGGACTCGTGATTTTATTAGCATAGGGAACTCACAGAGAGGAAACTTTCAGATTGGCTGTTCTGCAGTAGGCATTTGATAAATGATTATTAATTGACTGATTTTTGATAGTTGATTAATTGAGTTTTCTTGAGCTCCTGCCTCTGAGAAAACTTTCTTCATACAAAGAGGTATGGTTTCTGAATCTAGCTTTCTAGAGATAAGGGAGATTTGGGGGCCATACTAGGCTTGGGGGTTCCGTCAAGAGTAACTCCAAATTTGAGAATTTGAGGGTTAGATTTTCTTGAGACAGAAGTGGAGTTTCTGAGCAGCTTGCTTCTTGGAGAAAGAAAAGGTCACCCATAAGGCCTCATGGCTAGAGGAGATTAAAGTAGATAAATCATAAAACATGGGAAAGCAAGAAATCGGGCCTTGTCTCTCCCCCAATCTTCTGCTATTATAGTGAGTTATTTAGAATGTGCAGATTCATTGGCAAGAAGACTATCTAGCATTCCCAAAGCACAATTCCTTCTGAGTAGAAGCCCAAATCACACACAGGTAGATCTGGGAGGAACTGTGTCGATTGCTGTGGGAAAGAAGAATTTCACCCAAATGTTAGAGTTGCCCCATAGGAAACCCCAAGTCTAATTCCCTTCTGAGGGAAACTATTACTTAAAGCGTTTTTTTTTCCTATATCTACTTTTGGGTACCTATGAGTACTTTGCATTTTCTCCATTTTTCTGTGGTATGAAATAAAGATTGTACTGTACTCAATATGCATTTGTTACCTTGAGTACTTGTACAGGAGCTGTTGTAAACATTTTCGGAAATCTAGACATGAGCTTTGGGGGAGATTTTCCAGGTTAAAGTCTGGGTGGAGAATATGACTCTTTGGGTCAGTCTCTGAAATCAGACCCAGTCCACCAGGTGTGAGCCCAGGGTAGGGAAGAAAGGCTAAGCTGTAGCTCACTCACCAAATTGCCACGTAAAAACATTTACTGTGGAAATTTTCATTTTCATTTTCGATTTTATTTTTTCAATTATTAAAAATCCTACTTCTCTTCTTCACCACCAACATCACCCTCCATTAAAAAAGAAAGAAAAACAAAACCCTTACAATAAATACACGTAGTCAAGCAAAACAAATTCCTCCATTGTCTGTGTCCAGAAAACTATATCTCAATTTGAACCTATCGCCTTTATGTCAGGATATGGCTAGCATGTTTCATCATTAGTTCTCTGGAATAGTGGTTGGTCACTTTCAGAGTTGCTTATCTTTTCAGCATTATAGAAATTGATCTCCTGGTTCTGCTCACTTTATTCTCCATCAATTTGTGTGCATTCCCAGATTTCTCTGAGATATCACCTTCATTATTTCTTTTTAAATTAAGTTTTTGATGTCTTTTTTTTTACATCACCATAATTTCCCCCAGTATCCCGTCCCCTCCCAAAGAGCCATTTCATATAAAAATAGGATTTTTAAATACAAAAAGGAAATCAGCATTACTGATCAATATGGAAGGGTTCTTTTTAATTCTTTCAATTCAAATAAAAATGTTTTATTTCAGTTTTATCATCACTGCCCCCTTTACCTTTCATCTCTTTGGCTGTCCTTTTAAGAGTATAATTACAGGCTACATGGGTTTTGAAGAAGGCAGATTTTGGGGACATGTACAACCTTCATTCAGACCAATACTATATAATCCCCATTTTACAGATAAGAGCTTAAGTGATTTGACTACCCCAAACCCAAGTTTTCAGACTCTCAGTCTCTCACAACAAACTGTCTCTCTCACTCTGGGAGAGAACACAATGTATTTGTCTTACTTGTATCATTAGGATCAAAAGGATTTAGACCTGGAGGGGGAACTTGCCCAACCCCCTCATTTTACAGATGAGAGAGCAGGTTTTTAATGAGGACAAAATGAGATTATATATTAGGGCTTTAACCACCCGAGGGCTCTTTAGGGCACTGACCAATTTGAGGATACCCTGATCCCAGCTGGAAGTCCCTCTCCCAGTTAATTACATTTTTATATGCCCCATAATGATTTCTGGGACCCCATTACTAGAAGATTCTTGCATCCAGCCCAATGACATATGCATTTTAATAGCTCTAATGCACGTAGTTAGACTTGTAGGAGGAATTAAGGGGAGGAATAAAGTTGTTCCAGCCTGGAAAGGGGAGGGAGGAGAGAAGAGGTCCTGGAGGCAGCCATGAAGTTGCTCCTCCCCATGACCAGCTGGCCTCCAGGGAATACCACTCCCCCTCATATACTTTTCCAGTTGGTCAGCTCACTCTGGTGAGGTGGGGAAAGGGAGGAGGTGACTCAAAGTGATATACTTAATTGCTCCCATTCCCCCAAATAAAAAGATTTAAAATACTTCTGCATCTGAAAAGGGAAAAGTATTATGAAAATGCAAAATAGGCATTGTTAAATACTTTGTACTGGCAAGGCAATCATTATTATTAACATGAACCTATCACCGAGCTGGATTACAGTGTGTTTGTACAACCTCTCCAAGGTTCCCAGGAGAAATAATATTTGAGCAAGCCAGAATGTACTTGCTGTTTCAGTAGACCTAATGGTACAGTGGAAAGAACCCTGGATTTAGAATCAGAAGTCCTGGGTTTGAACTCTACCTCTGAGATTAACTTGCTTTCTGACCTTGAGTCATTTAATCTCCCTGGGTAAGAACTTGTTTAAAAAACAAAAAACAAAAAAATAATCAGATGTGTTGGGAACCCAAATTAGATCTGGCATAGGAGGGGTTTAAAATTCCTTATTATGAGATGAAGAGAGCCCTATGAAAAAAGAGGTATCCTAAACATCGAAGATTCAACAATATTTGCCACTGGAAAGTAAAGAAGAGAATTCTGTGTGAGCTTGGCAGGTAGAAGGGTTCTGACCCAGCATGAGGAGAGGAGGAGATCCAGGCCACCATCAGACTCATTACGATCATGCAACCTGCCGCTCTCCAGACACACAAACTGACCTGCTGTGTTGATCTTGGCCAACTGTCATGCCAAGTCTTAGCCAAGTTCAGCAAGAGTTGGCAGCCCGTGCATGAAAGCAGAGCTAGGAAACTAGTGGAGCCAGTGGGCCTCTTGCCATTCTGGGACTTAGCAGAAAAAGACCACACTGGCCACAAAAGTCTGGGAAATCTAAATCCTAGCTGGCTAACCCTTCTCAACAATTCCTGGGTAAAATATTCACCTGCTTGAGCTCAAAGTGTCCTCTGTTCCCCTCAGTGGCTACAAACAAAAAGAAACTGGGTTAACTGGTCAGACTGGTTCTGAAACATGAAACTCGACCAATGCCTCACCACACTATATCATCCATGTTACCAGCTGCAGTCCAACTGGATTCCTCGTTCACTGAAATAGCTCAGACACACAACAGGACCCATTTACCCAAATCGATTTGCTTTCTTTAAAGACCCAAAGGATTAAAAAAAAAAGCTGGCCCCACTCACCTTTAGTGTCTTTAGGAAAGCAAACACTTTTAAGAGCAGTGCTTTGTAACAACAGAGGAAAGAGGGAAACGCCTCAAGGAAAGGCAATTGGAAAAACAGCCAATTAGCTGGTAAATCCCCATTGTCTATGAAATGAAACGGAAAAGCACTCTGGGGAAGAGTGCGACCAGCTGCAACCCAATTAAACCCATTGGCCCAGGAGTGCCCAGGAGAATTCTTCTGGTTTACCTAAACTCATCTGCTTTTCCAGGGATCTTCAGGGGCTGTGGTGCAGAGACTTACAGATCTGGAGTGACTTCTCTCTTCTCTAGTGACAGCAACTCAGCCAAAATATGTTTACAAGTCAAAATAAAGGATCAAAACTACCTCATTAAAATTGTTTTTCTTTTTTTCCCTCCCAGCACCTGATTAGAAGAGGGAGGGAGACAGAAGGATACCACAACCCAGTGTTCTAAGACTACTGTAGGCAGCATCATGGGTAAGATGAATAATGAGGAAGAATTTATACTGCATTTGAAAAGCTCTGAGACTCTGAAAGGGCCTTCATCTGGTCATCATCAATGTCACTGATGTTCTTAAAGGAGCAGAGATTGCATACCTGGAACTCCCAAGAGTCGTTACTCCCAATGGAACGAATAAATAGATCTGTCTATATCAGTGATAGAATCTCTTTCCCAGAGTCCTTAGACAGTACAGTTTTGTCAAACAATACCTTCATGTCATTGTCCTTGGACATCAAGGGCATGCATGATCAGAAGAGGAAGTAGGCTGGCACCATATTGAAAGTGAGGGATGTTAGATTACAATAAGAGGTCAAGGGATTCAAGGGTGAAAAAGAGGGGTTAGAAGACATTGAAAAGTTGGAGAGATCCTAGAAGGACTTATTGATGTCAGAAGACATTGATAAGCTAGAGAAGTCCTAAGAAGACTTATTGAAGTCAGAAGACATTGGGAAGCTAGAGAGGTCCTAGAAAGGCCACTTAGATGGTGAAAGGACTTGAGATCATTCAATGAGGATTAATTGGAGAAACTGGGAATATTTACACTGGAAAAGAGAAGAGGAGTGGTGGGGGAAAGAAAGTCCTTTTCAAGGATTCAAGGGCTATCATGCAGAAGATGGAAGGATCTTTTTTTTTGTGGCTTGACCCCCAAAGGCAGAACTTGGGGCGGTGGGTGGAAGTTGCATAGAAGCAAATATGGATTTGATAGAAAGGAACATTTCCTAACAATTAGACGTATCCAGAAGTGGTAGCTCAAGGAGTGATGGATTCCACTTTCCTAGAGGTTTTCAGTCAAAGGCCAACGGAACTTAAGTCACAACTTATGTTGTATTGGTGATTTTGTTCCCAATGCAGTTTGTATTCAATGGCTTCTGAGCTCCCTTTCCACTCTAAGATTCCATAATTCTGTGAAAGGACAGACCTGCCCCTAGGGTCTTACCTGGGTGGGGATAAAAAAAAGAAGTGAATGATTTTGATTGATTAAAAAGAACAGTCAGAGAAAGTCACAATAAGAGTGAAGAAGAGGAAAAGAGGAAATGAAAGAAGACTGCCAGAGTTCAGAGTCCCAGAAGGGAGAGCAGTTTCAATGAATGGCGTGGTTGATCTGAGGTGCTATGACCAAGTCAAAGAAAAGTAGGGGTGGGGGAAGAAGCTGATACAAACTATCTGAAGGGTGCTCCTGTGCTCCTAAAGGGAGACTGGGACCCATCTATTTTGCATTATTGTTTGTCAATCTTTCTATCTACTGATAATGTCTATGGTAAAATTGGTGAATTTCCAAAGAAAACAAGAATGATGTACAGAATTCTACCAGGTATTAGCCAATAAAACCTCCAGTCAACCAGAGAACTACTAATTACATATTTGAAATATAATGCAATTATATATTATATATTATAATATATATTATAATGTAATTATATTTTACATTATATTTTAAGGTTACCCTCAACAAAGCATATATGTGTATATATATATATTTCATCTTTAATACACACACCATTCTGAAAATTATGCTAAACCTGTTCTATAAACTTAGCCTTTCCAAATATTTCTGACTCTAGAGGGATGGAACATTTACTTCTGCACTGACAATATGACAGTGAAGTCTCATCTCATTGTGTGAAATCAAAACTTTCCTGAATTAATGATTTTAAATGTAGTTTTTTTAATCAATAAAGTTATATGATGGGAATTTGGGGCATAACTTTACTTTGTTATAAGAATATACACATACATACATACATACATATATATATATATATATTTGTTTTTCTTTAATTACAAAAGTTTAAATGGCCAACATGTTTATTTTTTTTTACCAAAAATAAACTTTATTTTAAAAACTATTTCTAATTATAGTTTCTCATGCCAAAATTACAGAAACTGAAATTTTAACACTCTAATGAAAAACAAAAAGCAGGTGTATTTTACAAGTAGTTAATTTCAATTATGTTGCATTAAATGAGCATTGTAATTTGAAAAGTCAACATTTTCTAGGTTGCATTGCACAAGGATTTACTTGGAAAGTGCAATCATGGGATATATTTGTGATTTATTTTTTATATATTCTTTACATTTTAATTTTTGTTCTTTAAGAGTCAGTTTTCTTTTCCCATTCCACATTTCAATTGTATACCAGGCAGGGCATGTTTGTATTTTGTTGTTATTTAGCACTACAAATCCTGTGTTAAGATTTTTAGCCAGTCCATGATGGTCCTTTTCCTTTACTTCATTACTTTTCTCCTCTCTGATCTTCATCTCTCAACTTCACTTACCTCCCCCTTCTCTTTACTCTTTCCCACACATCCTGGGGTAGGAAGAGGGGAGATGCTGTACATTTTTTTTCTGTTGGGGACAAGCTCAAGGCCCTGCCTCCCATCTTGGTAGGGGCTGACAGAGCAGAGAGGAAGGTTATAGGTGTAAAGGAATTCAAAGGACTCTGAGGAAGGGGTATCAGTGTGATTACTAAAATCATGGGAGAGTGACAAGGAAGAGGTTGAATTGGGGGACAGTCTAGGCCCTTCCAGGTTCAGATCTCCACTTGATTTCCTGGATGGACTCATTGTAGGATGAGTAGGGAGGAGATGGGAATGGATGGACATGTAGATTTGAGAATCAAATGCATAGAAATCATAGTTAAATGCTGGAAAGGAAATCCCTTCTGGGTAGCCAGGAAAGTAAGGGGATGTCAGCAGCCTAGTATCTAGGGACACAAGATGGGCACGCTGTGTTGGCACAAAGAGCTGAGCACCTTAGGATCTACCTGCAGACAGTTTTACCTTATGAGGTCCAGTGGGTTGTATCACAGGGGAGCTGGCAGAAGAGGACAGAGATCAACAGGACTGCTGGGGATTTAAAAACTAGCTCCTGTCATTCTCAAGCAGTAGGGCATAGATTTAAGCATTCTGAGCAGGATGGAGAATAGGTAGCAGGCTTGCTCTTAAGCTGAAAGGAAGCTAGGGATCAGAACTAACAGCATTAGAAGGAGGTTCACCATTGACTTTCAAGTACCTGCCATGCCCCTGGCTGTCCCTTAAAATGTAAAACATATTTGCTAAGGAGGTGGCTGAAGCAGGAGACAGGAGTTTTGGTTTGTTCTTTTTTTAAAAAAAAAAAAATTTCTATATTAGCTCTGTTGCAAAAGAAAACAGACTAAAAAAACAAACAAGAAAAATGAAAAAGGCAAAGGAAACTATTCTTCAACCTTCATTCAGATTTCATCAGTTCTCTCTCTGGAGTTGGATAGCATTTTTCATCATGAGTCCTTTAGAATTATCTCAGATCATTGCATTGCTGAGAATAGCAAAATCATTCACAGCTGATCATCATACAATATTGCTATTTCTTCTGGTTCTACTTACTTCACTTTGCACCAGTTCATGTAATTCTTTCCAGATTTTTCTGAAAGCATCTTGTTTGCCATTTCTTATAGCAAATTAGTATTCCATCATAATCATATACAACAACTTGTTAAACCATTCCCCAATTAATGGGCATTCCCTCAATTTCCAATTCTTTGCCACCACAAAAAGAGCTGCTATATTTTTGTACATCCAAGTCTTTTTCCCTTTAAGAAATCTTTTTGGGAGGCAGCTAGGTGACGCAGTGCATACAGCACTGGCTCTGGAGTTAGGAGGACCTGAGTTCAAATCTGTACTTAGGCACATAACACTCACTAGCTGTGTGACTGTGCAAATCACTTAACCCCAGTTGCCTCACCAAAAAAAAAAAACACGACCCTCACTTTGGGATACAGACCTAGCAGTAGTATTGCTGGGTCAAAAGTTATGCACAGTCTTATAGCCCTTTGGGTACAGTTCCCAATTGGGTATAGTTCCCATTCTTCCAGAATAGTTGGAGGAAATAATTTTTAGGGTTATGGGTAGAGAGGAAAGCCAGTTCTGGCCATCAGGAGTTGAGCTGTGAAGAAGATCAGACCCCAGAAGACCAGCTGAGTGACCTGCTCATCAGAGATGCTATGCCCGGAGGAAGTAGCAACAGGATACCTCTAGAAGGGAAAGGATGTAGGGACCTTGTAGTTCTGAAGGTATGAGCTGGCTGGGCCACTTGTGTTCCCTCCATGTGCCCCTCTCTCCGTGTATATGTTCTCTGCTCTTCTCACCAAAGCTCTTTGCTGCCTGCCCTTATCCTCTCTGATTTCAGTCAATTGCTCTGATGTAAAATCAGCTGATCAGGCATGTTCTGTTCAAATCCCCCTCCCCCAAACTACATATAAATTTATAAGAAGCAGTAAGAGAGGTAAAAGGAGGACCAGGAATAATGCACTGTCATACAAACCATAAATGAATTCTGGACTTTTGCAAGTACATACGAAGAACCATACTTCCCATCACCCAGTGTATATAGTGTCTAGTACAAAAAGATATCTAAGAGGCTGGCCAGAAAAATAAATAAATAAAAATAGGTCATTGGATTTGTCTGGAAGAGTATCTCATAAGTGACCTTATAAAGGGATACAGTAGAAACAGATTTCAGGAGGTTATGAAAGAAATGAGTGGTGGGGAAGTGGGGGCAATATATAAAGATGGTTTATCCAGGAGTGTTGCAGTAAAATGAGATGAATGGGGAGAATCTAGAAGGAAGAATAAGGTCATCAACGATAAGGTCAAGAATAAGGTCAAGATAGGAGGTGATGCTGTTTGTTTTCAAGGTGAGGAAGAAGAGCAGCCAGTTGGGGCAGTGGATGGAGTGTTGAGTTTAGAATCAGGAAGACTCATCTTTATCAGTTCAAATCCAGCCTCAGACTTCCTAGCTGTGTGACCCTGGGCAAGTCACTTAATCCTGTTTGCCTCAGTTTTCTCATCTGTAAAATGAGCTGGAGAAGGAAATGGCAAACCACTCCAGTGTCTTTGCCCCACCCAAAAACCCAAATGGGATCAGAAAGAGTTGAACATGACCAAGCAACAACAAGTGGGGAGGAAGCCCTTACATTTGAAGACAAGAGGGAAGAAGCCAGTGGAAAAGGAAAGATTCCTGCTACTAAAGAAAGTGCATGCAGGAGCAAAGCTCCTCTGGAGGTGATAAGGTGAATAAGGCTACAGAGTGTAGATGAAGGATTCGGCTTTGGAAAGGAGAGGGAGCAAGGACAGCCTTAGATAAAACTTTGTCTTCACTACTTAGTTTGCGCCCCAGTCCTTCCTCATGCCCTCCCTCATCTGCCTAATGTTTTCATATTTCTTCCCCATTCTCAAGTATCAAAACATATGCCAGGAAAGGATCTGAGGCGTATTCAAACTTGAGAGGATATTAGGTGATTAATTGCTTGAAGAGTTACCCCTGCCAGGGGTAATAAGAATAATTCACATTTATACAGCATCCCCATTTTACAAATGAGGAAACTGAGGCTTAGCAAGGTTAAGTGACTCGTCCATAGACACCTGGCTAGGAAATGTTGGACCTGAGACATAAAACCATTTCTTTTGATTCTAAGTGCAATTCTTATTTCATTATGCCATCTTCCTCTCCATTTAGATTTTACTTTATAACAAGCTGATGAAACCTTAAGCTAAGGAATAAAGCTCTAAGTACCGAATTTTAGGCATCAGTCATCAGGTAGGAGGGGGTACTTGGCAGCATGAAGGCTTTCCTAAACCCTGAAATAATACTATATAATGATAGCTTACTCCACCTATGCAT